TTAATTTTTAGAAAAAAAAACAAAAGGGGGTAAAAAAAAAACGCCCCCCCCCTTCAATTTTTTTATTTAAAAAAAAAAAAAAAAAAAAAAAAAAAAAAAAACATGTACCTTTTTTCTTTCCTACCAGCTGCTTTTTTAAAATAAACATTAGGCTTTCTGTTCGACTCACACAAAAGACCTACAAGCTGCAGCTGCTCCTTTCAGCCTATGGACTGTTTGACGAATGTTTACCACCCTCTGTGTGCACCTATATTTGGATATATAGGTGGTCACTGTGAGACCATATGGCCGTACGCGTGCATTTTCAACTTGAGCGTGTCTACATGTGTGTGTGCTCCAAAGCCATTCAAGCCTGGCTACTGGATGGTTCTAATGTCTCCTACTCCTATTTCATAAGAGACTGTGGAAAACTTGGAGTCAGCACACTGGCATGAGATGAGCCTCGGCTGGAAGCGGATTGGGTCACACATCTGCAAAACACCACGCATGTCTGTGTGTATGAAAAGCAAGAGAGGAAAAGAGGGGTCGGGGGCGCATGCATATATGCTGGACAAAAGGAAGACGTGTGCATTAAACGCATAAAAGCCAGTGAGTCCAGTGATGAGGAAATATGTGCTGCACAAATTATAACACCGCAGGAGAATTGCACCATTCCAGGCCGTGTTCTTTGCACACAGCAAACAGCTGAGAAGCGAAAACAAAAATCAATGTTTTAATGGGTTTCGGGGTTTTGTACAAAATAAGAACAATCAATGGTTAAACCTGCAGAATTAAACCCTAGAGAACAAAGAAATCCTCTGTTTCCATAAGAAAACACAGGTATGCAGCCTCTTTAATTTGCTCTAGAGAAGCTGTTTCTCGCCACATCCTGGCAACCATTCTCTGGCGGCGAGGCGCAAATGGACGTATGTAAAATGTAATGGTTTCAGAGAGTTGTTGAGCCGTCAGATGTAGAACGTTACAAATGTGCTTTTGCAGGATGGAGCAAATGTCTCGTAAAATTCCTCGCCTCATCTATTTAAACGATTCGTTGGCGGCCTGGTGAGTGCTGCTGTGTAACTACAAGCCTTATTTTCTCGTGCACAAATAGCTCCAACAACAAGTGAATGCATGCACTTCGACCTGCAAGACAATATCAAATTTGTCTGGATAAAACCAGACAGTAGACACGTAATAAAAATTGTCTATTTCAAATATTTCAAACTGTAAAAAAAACAAACAAACAAAAAAAAATATCTCTAATTTACGGTAAAATACCGGCAGCTGTAGTTTGCCGGTATTTTACCGTATAATATAAAACAGACTTTACCGTGTTTCTATGGTAAAGTTCTGGCAACCACAGATGCCGGTATTTTACCGTAAATTTGAGACTTTTTTACTTTTTTTCACAGTGTACCTATGCTATTTAGACAAACATGGTATTCTATGTAAATCTGGATAACCAAATAATATAATAAAGCACATTTATTATATTAAACATTACGACATTCTGGTTGCATGCAGTTTCACAACCACAAGAACTCCTTGTATCACTTTATAGGATGACGTATTTCAATTGTCAAATGTTAATATCAGTCATATATTTGATCATGTGGAGTAACCCTGAGTGCCCTTAATGACTGCTACGTATATTTTTAGTGGTTGAGATGCTATAACTCACAGAGGCTGGTCAAGATTTTTATTTTTTTTTTTAAAGGTAAAGAGACAAGAATACAATGCGATCACAATCAAGATTATAATCATAAATTTCATGAATAGTATTGCAACAATTTCTGAATATTATCCAATGGCGGTTTTCAAAAATGTACTCAAATACAAAGGAAATTTGTCCATTTATACTGGCCCTAAATAAAGTCCAGACTTACAATTATGTGGCAAGACCTTCAACTATTTTGCAAAAAGAAAAAAGGAGGGACAAACATTTTTGTGGTACATGTTTTGAAAGGTGGTTCTACAATTTATTGACTCAGTGGATTTTACCTGTATGTATCTCAATCATGAAAACCTTGTGCTATTTTCTTTACATTGATCACATAAAAATACGTAGAAGTTTGGGATTCAAATGTGAAACTATATGAAAGGCTATGAATCATTGAGCAAGGCGCTGTAAACACACTTTCAGAAGGTAACAGTCTGCATCCATCAAACCGACACATGGCTGGTCACTTTTGGCCAGAGTCGAATCTTATTTAGAAGGCTAATCTCCTGTTTCACTGTCCTACACATATGCTTTCACTAACAGTGGATATTATTCTCCGCAAACTGCAGAGGGTTGTCCGCGTTCATGTTTATACAAGTGCTTGAAAAGATTTTGTAACAAGCAAAGAAGAAAGTGTGGCAATTGATACTTCCAAGACGTGCACGAGCATTTAAAGCATGACCGCGACTCGCTGTGCACGTTTTTCAAAACAGGACCAAACTTACTTGTTGCGAAGTTTCGAGCTGAGAAACTGCAAGAACAGCCCAGATCGACTTTTCAGAAGTTGGTCATTTGATGGTCAGCGCGAGCTCCAACAGGCACGAATCCTGCAGTTTTCCCTTCGGCCCGTGTCCTGTACAGATCTCCTCCACTCGAGGTTTTCACATCACCGAAAAACTGAGTCGGGAGCGAACTTTTTTTTTCCTGTGGACGGGTTTCGTCTTATTTGGCGCTCATCATCTAGTCTCGTTCAAATGGACGCGCAGAGAGAAAGTATGTGGGTGTCTAACTGCGGTGAGGCGCCCTCATCCGCCGACTATAAAAGTCTGCTGAGAGAGGAGGACCACCGAGGGGACAGACTGCTGGGCCAAACCTCCAAAATAAAATGCTCCCTTAGCTGCAGGCTCGTGGCAAGAGTCAAAGACTGGATTATGCTGTTTCATTATTATTATTATTAACTCTATTATTAGAGTAACTGAATGCTAAAGATTATTAAGAGTTCAGATTCTTCTTAAACTCCTAAAACTTGATTGTAATAGAAAAAAAAAAAAAAAGTTAAGGATTTTTAACCTTGCCCAGTAGGTAGACTACGATTTAAAACGGCTTTGTGTTTGGCACCAAATAAATCAATTACAACAAACATACACTACACTGATAAAGCAACTTTTGGGCTTAACCACTGAAACTGCTGCACTTTATTCGTGTAGGTTTCTAAAGCTGGGCTTTGTAGCATCTAAAACACTCTTAAATAAATCAGTTACATTTCAAGTATATTTTAAAATGCAGTCATTTAGCTAAAGTTTTTTATAAATACAATTTTTTAAATTTCGTTCCGCATGTTTGGTTTATCCTGACATATTGAAAAAAAAAATAATAAATAAACAAATAAATGCACTAAAATGAAATATTATTGAAACGTTTTCAAATTAATTCCCCAACAACTGCAGCAAAGATGAGCCTTACCTTTGCAATGACTGGATAAAAAATGTCCTTGTCAGCAATTTTGACTTTAGCATTAGACCTGTTGAGTAAACCATTGGTAAAGTTGCATCTTTTCTGGCGATATGACAAATAAACTAATACTGAAAACTTTACTGAAAACTGTAACTGTATGTAATGCTAAGAATCCCATCTCGCCAGCAGTTTTGACTTTAGCAATTAGCCCTGTCACTAAACTATGTAAACATGGATACAAGCTGAAATAGTGCCTCAGCAAAGAAATTTCCTCAAGCACTGGTTGTAAAACACTTACTAATTTTACCAAATTGATGGGCTAAATATTCATTTCTGAGACAACTCAACATATTAGTCTTAGCGTTCCCCACAGGACCAAAAGTTGCATTTGACAAAACCAATCTTATCAGTTGAACTGTAATCAAAATATACTGCTAAAAAAAATAAAGGGAACATTTCACTTTAAATTTTGTGTGTGGCTCCAAATCCAGGCCTCCATTGGTTAATAAATTTGATTTCCATTGATAATTTTTGTGTGATTTTGTTGTCAGCACATTCAACTTTGTACAGAACAAAGTATTCAATGAGAATATTTCATTCATTCAGATCTAGGATGTGTTATTTGAGTGTTCCCTTTATTTTTTTTGAGCAGTGTATTTAGGTGGAGAGTTACAGAAGTGCATATGGTTGTGGGAATATTGAGCATTAAAAACAAATAAGCTGCGTTCCTTATTAATCGTTTCCATGGCTACTACTTACACCTTGCAAAATAAAATTTTGCAGTGTAACGCAGTTCAGATTTGTAGCAATAGAGAAAGCCTTTTCTTTTTAGAAAAACATAAAAATGCTCCTTGCAAAACATGGATGCAGGACAAACTACTTGCTCCCATGGGCTCACGTGGAGGGTCAGTTTGAGATGCAATGTCTCCAGAGGCTCGCCCACAATTTCAGCTTTCAGCAGCTGTCCACCCGCTGACCCAAAGCCATCGGTCACTATGGAGGTCCCGCCCAACCACGTGAGCACATAAGAGAAAAGAAATGTTTCCAGCTGTTGCTTGCTTTTGACACACAATTGTTGTTTTTATTTGTCAAGAAACAGCATATTTTGTTTTGCATGGATCTCGTGAGTGTTTTTCTTACACAGTTCAATAGGTTCAGTCAGTCCTTTGAGGGCAAACATCTATCAGTATTAAAAAAAAAAAATCAATGGCCTTAATGAAGCTAAAGCAAATGAAGTTTGCCTTATTAATGATATGTGTGACCTATAAATCTGACTTCCCCTGAAGTCAGATAGCTGCCCGAAGCAGGCATGTTTTGATCTCTTCACCGCCTCCACCCCACGTTCCAATGTACAGATTCTGTGTTGACATAATTTGTGATGTGATGGTGAGGAAATGCTATTGCCCTGTCTGCACTGAGAGTCATCTTTTTGTTTTTTTTTAATATCCCCACCCGCTTCTCATTTACGAGGCCCACAAATTATGGTTTGACATTTCTGAATCCTCCAACTGTAAATCACATAAAACACTCCCTATGAGACGCAAAACAACATAAATACTGCAAATCTCCAATTCAGACCTACAGTTACAAAACAAGCCCAAAGTTATTTTTTGTGGTTTTTTTTTTTTTTTTTTTTTTTATTGGCTAATTCTATGATTAAATGTTTATGTCAAGTTTTCTTCCTTATTATTCTCATTTGATTTCCGAAAGGTGTTTGACATTCATATTGCAACAAAGGAACACTTGCTATTAGTCTGCACTCATTAAATGGCCAAAAATTCCCTTTTTATTAGGGAGTTATGTGACAGATAGCTCCAGTTCCAGGAGAATGGGGGCGTGCAGTGAACCACTTTATCCGTTACTGAATCATGTGGACTTATGCTGTATTGAATGTGACAAGAGAACAATGCACCTGACCCACAGACCGATCCCACTGAATTCTCTGGAGTGGTGGAATTATGTTTCACTAGAGCTGTACTTTCCTTGGGATGCTTGGTACTTTGTATTGTTACTATAGTACCAATCAAAAGGAATCTACATGGTAAAATACCGTTCAGTGATTTATATGAGATATAATTTACCTCACTACAGATTTCTTCTCGATTGTATGTTTCAGTTTCAGGTTATCAAACAATTTTTAATATCAGCCCAGTACAAATAGCAGATTTTAATCAACACTTTTAGCCATTTTTAAGGCTACGGGGCTCCAGTGTTCCACAGTGCGAGCTGTGGGGAAAAAAAGCATGGAACAGTTGGGAATCGACAGAACGTGTTGTCCTACAAAAATTAATCTAAGATAGCATAATTTCTTTTAAGACTGAATCCCAGTCTGAATATGCCATAATTAAGTGCAGATTACATATGGAATGCTTTCTTAATGTGTTTTGCTAAGCTGTATTTGTTTGGTCCTTGTTACCTCCTTATGAGGACTGATAACCAAATTTAATTTGTGGACCATGTTTTTGAATGTTAATTTGGTTTAGAGAGTCCAAGCTACATAAGCAAGATGCTTCAGGCTTTACAAGTCACAACCATCTTTTCATTATTGGTTTTCTGCCAAAGCATGCTTTTTTGCAGCAATGTAATTTGCGCTAGGCTGTCTGTTTCTTCTTTCCTCCACAACAAAAGAGTGTCCTCTGTCTCAACCCCATCAAGTCACCTGTAATGCACTTAGGGCAGTTTCACGTCGAAGTGTGGCAATTTACATCTGTGTCAAGCCCTTGCTGGCTATTTGATTAGAAAAGGGAGGTGGTAGTCTCTATTGCACACAGAGAAAGAAACGACTGAGAAAATCAGGAGGGAGCAACGTGTGCTTCATGTTACACACATGTTCTTCAGCTGCTGGTGGACTTAAAATCATTCACAAATACATTTTTTGAACCATAATCCAGTATTATAGCATTACCTAACCTGTCATATGTATGCCAGGGGTAGGGCTGTAAACTAGACAAGGTGAAGTGGGCAGGAAATTGAAGCGAATTGGAAAGATTTCTTGGTATGAATGGGATCTACAGAGTATCACCATGAGAGCCCCACCATGTGCAAAACAACACAATTAAGAGGGACGCTTGGCTTAATCGGTGAAAGCATCATGCAAATGATGCTGTTTTTTTTCTCTAAGCCTACTTTAATCTTGACCGTTATCTTAGAATACAAATCAGGGACTTAAGTCTAATGAAAAGAAGAGCTTAGCAGAGAAAAAGTGATGAACAGAGAAGGCGGAGGTGTGAAAAACAGAAGTTGTAGAAGACTGTGATCTGCTTACAGCCAAGTTCATCAGATTAATAACGATCACTTCTTTCTTAATTCTGGACTTGTATGTTCACTCATAGCACATGCTTTGTGCTTCTGTGATATGTTTGCACAGTAAAAAGCAACAATGGAGCTTCACTACCACTGACTGTAATGTTGTCATCATATTGAAACTAATCCAGCAGAAATATTGGATTTATATTTCTAAAATGTTCGTGTGCATTATGCCAAATTTTTATTTGATAGATTTTATAATTTATTTGTAAACAATTCAAACTTCTTATTTGAGTGCCGTGGTGGGGACATTTTTAATCTAAAGGTCCTGATTTAGATTTATTAATCTAAAGGTCCTGTCATGATTTATTTTAATGCTCATGAAATTTCACAGAATAACTTGTCTGACATAAGACTTCAATGTCTTATGTCAGACCATAACCTTCAATGGTTATGGTCCTGGAAATGTTTCCTCCTCTGTGAAGGGAGTCAGTCTATCTCCATTTTTAGTTTTTTTTTTTTCTGAACTTGGGTATTAAATAGACGTTTAAGAATCTATAAGTCTTACCTGATAATAATAAACCTAGGGATTTTCACCTTAGCAGTGCTTGGATAAGGTTTTTTTTTCCTCCCTAACAGTTTTTAATTACTTATCTAATGTCAAAGTATAAATAATAGGGACTGAATTGAGCATGAAAATAGTTAGTCTCTGGTTTTTTGTTGATTTGGCCATATGTTTTTATTCATTATCTTGTTTATGACTCCTGTTCAGTTCTCCAGTATAGATCATCACATTTTTATTTAAAATCTCAGAGTATTTCAGGAGGTTCATATTGGATGTGCTCTGTAATGAAGTTCCCAGGGGTTCTGGAGGAGAAACAGTCCCGCTGACAGTGTTTTCTGTCAAATTTTACCAGAGCACATAGCATCTGAATGTTACAATGGAGACTTGGTGACTTTGTACTTACATCACTTACTATCCTGTCTGGTGGGAAGACAGGATATATGGGTTGTTGCCAAGCGGACAAGTTGGCTATTTTACAGCTGCAATTATATGCTTCACTTTAACATAACTAAATACAACTTAAAAAAAAAAAAAAAAAAAAAAGGTCTTCAAAAGGCACAGCATAACA